CATACAATTTTGTATTATATGGACATTTTGTAGGACATTTTGTAACCAACCAAGATCACCATGTTTCATCTCTAACATTTTGTATTATATGGACATTCAAATTTCGTAGAACAAATTAAAATCCAAAATTGGAAAGTAAACCTTCCAGAACTTGATGATGAATCCCCATTCTGTCTCGGCAACGACCATGAACATTGCAATCACAACCGCATAGCACCGAAATATGCCATCAAATATCTACAAATATCCACAAAACAATAAATTTACATACAAATCCAGAGGCATATATCTAGAGAGAGAGAGAGAGAGAGAGAGAGAGAGAAAGGGATTACATACATCAGATCCATCTTTGAAGGAATGAATGGCAGAGAGAATGTTGACAGAGATGCAGAGAATGGCAGCCGCAGAGGTTACGATGCTGAAGCATCGACAAACGACCAAGAAAGGATTGGGTCTGGATCTAACTCTGATAGCGGCGGAGGCGGAGACGGAGGCGGAGGTGGAGGCGGTTGAAGCGCCAGAGTGTTGTTTCTCGCCCTGTGCGTTGTTTCTCGCCATTTCTGTGTAGCTCTCCCAAACACACACGGTAAAAGAAACTCTAAGCTTGAATCGAAGCCATAATATTTTAAATTTCTGTGTAGCTCTCCCAAATTTCTGTGTAGCTCTCCCAAACACACACACTCACACACAGTATCACATAATATGAAAGAGATAGGAGGAAGAGAGAGGCGTACGTGGGTAGGTGGAGAGAAGTCACGGACGGGAGATCTAACATTGGAATTAATCTGAGCCATATATTTTAAATTTGGAATTAATCTCAGCCATTGGATTAAAATGTATCTCTCGTACATTTTATACATTTTCAAAAACTCTCTTCCCTTATTATATAGATATATATACTTATTTAAATCATCTCAAATAACCCTTTAATTTTAGCTATCTTTTGATTCCATTCTTGTCAAATCAATTTTTTAGTTTTTGAAATTTAGGAAATCAACTATTCAAGTTTAAAATTAAAATAAGATAATATTAAGATAACGTTTTAAAACTATATCATTTTATTTTAATTTTGAATTTAAACAATTGAATTATCAGAGTAAAATTATTGTGGAGAAAAGAATGATAGAAGATTCTGATCCACAACTTTACAATAAAAATATGCAAATTTTGGACAATAATCATTGGCTTGTTTTGCAGAGCAAGTTAAAAGATGACTTTTTAAAAAAAAATTTGACTTTTTATTATATGTAAAAAATCAAGAAAAAGTGTGACAAAAAAATTAAAAAACCAAAAAATTTCTTTTAAACATATTCTCAACACAAGCCAATATTGTTATGGTTGTCATATTATTGCTAGTTACTGTTGTGGTGTTCTGAATTACCCAAGAAGACCATCTCATACATGTGCAATGCATTTGAATTTAAAAAGTGTGAGTTTAGTTTTAGCTGTATTTTGATTCCATTCTTATCAAATTGTCATAAAATTAAAGTAATAGACAAGAAAATAAGAGCTAAAGAGACTAGCAAAAAATTAGAATCAAGAGAGTAAATATTTCTTCTCATTCATTTTATGCATACCAAAACATCTAGCAAACATTTGCTTATATAGGCAAAATTTTAGTAGATAAAACATGTGAATTTGAAGGAGTTGGTGGAGATGGGAGGTTGGTGAAGTAAGTGAAAATAGTGAGATTGGAGGAGTTGTTGAGGTTGGACAGGTAGGTAAATTAACACAATCTCATTTACTAAATTCCACCATGTTCCATTAATCTCATCTTTTTATCTTGAATCAAAATGATGTCTCTTTTAATGATTATCCAAATATTTCACAACACTTCCCATTAGATAACTATATACTAAGAATATACCTCGTTAAAACTTTACCAAGAAAAACTCAGTGGGGAAAAACCTTTGGTAAACAATATTCTTGTATACGATTTGTTTAGATTCACTACAACAAAAAAGGCCTTTGGTGACAGATTGATTTTGTCTCCAAACATCAAAATTTCGTCACTAAAGTGATCTGTGACGAAAAAAATTTGTCACCATGTTCGTGGCCTATACGTCATCACAAAAAGTACCTGGTGACGAAAAACAGTTTCGTCACCTATTTTTCATTTTTGGTGACGAAATGTTTCGTCTCCAAATGTTGAATTTTTCGTCCTCTAAAACACCAATTTCGTCACCAAAACTAAATAATATTTTATTTTAATTATTTTTTGCGACAAAATATTTCATCACCAAATATATTTTAGTGACGAAAGTTTTCCTCACCAATGATATGGATTAAGGTGACAAAAAAATTCGTCACTAAAATGAACAAAAAAGAAAAATTATTTAATGACAAAATATTGTCACCAAATATTTCAATTTAATGACGAAATATTCAGCAAATGTGACGAAATTATTTGTTTCATACTATATCATTAGTGACAAAATTATTCATCATGTTTTTTGAAAACTAATAGCGACATTTTTTATTTCGTCACTAATAAAAATTAAAAATTTTGAAAATGAGAGTACTATTTTCTTCTGAAATTTTTTCTTTTCAGTAACAATTCCCTGCGCATTTCAATAACCTGTTCAATAAAATATCTATTACAAATCAATACAAAAATCTGTTCATTTTCATAAACATCACAATCGAATTTTAGCACTATCCACAAAAATACAATATGAACTGCATGCAAATTATAAACATGTCTCCTAATATCCACAAAAAACGCCTACTAATATCCACAAAAATATAATATCAACCGTATGCAGATTACCAAACACATCTCCTAATATCCAACAAAAAAACATGTCTACTAATATAACAAAAATAAAATATAAAGGGCGGATTAAAACACAAAATGAGCTACCATCGGCCCTCCAAATTACCAAACACGTCCATATCAAATCTCGAATCTGCAAAAATGAAACACAAAAAAAAAAAAATGTCAGTTAGACAATTATTATCTTATTCATAACATATACAATTTAACATGCATTTTTGGACTTAGTTTTCAAACCGGGAGTCCTGTGCTAGTTCCGTAAGTTTCCACGACTCACATTGGTCAATCCCGAGGTGTTTGAGGTGCTTCCTGGGCCGTCTTGTGGCTGTTGCACGATTTTGGCCCCGAAGGCCTATTTTCAAGCTTAAGTGTGAAAAATTACATTTTTGAACTTAGTTTTCAAACCGGGAGTCCTGTGCTAGTTCGGTAAATTTTCACAATTCACATTGGTCCATCCCGAGGTGTTTGAGGTGTTTCCCGGGCTGTCTCGTGGCTATTGCACGATTTTGGCCCCCGAAGACCTATTTTCAAGCTTAAGTGTAAAAAAGTGCATTTTTAGACTTAGTTTTCAAACCGGGAGTCCCGTGCTAGTTCTGTTAGTTTTCACAACTCACATTGGTCCGTCCCGATGTGTTTGAGGTGTTCCCCGGGCCGTCTCGTGGCTGTTGCACGATTTTGGCCCCTGAAGGCCTATTTTCAAGCTTAAGTGTAGAAAAGTGCATTTTTGGACTTAGTTTTCAAACCGGGAGTCCCGTGCTAGTTCCGTAAGTTTCCACAACTCACATTGGTCCGTCCCGAAGTGTTTGAGGTGTTCCCCGAGCCATCTCGTGGCTGTTGCACGATTTTGGCCCCCGAAGACCTATTTTCAAGCTTAAGTGTGGAAAAGTGCATTTTTGGACTTAGTTTTCAAACCGGGAATCCCGTGCTAGTTCCGTAAGTTTCCACAACTCACATTGGTCCGTCCCGAGGTGTTTGAGGTGTTTCCCAGGCCATCTCGTGGCTACTGCATGATTTTAGCCACCGACAACCTATTATCAAGCTAAAGTGTGAAAAAGTGCATTTTTGGACTTAGTTTTCAAACTGGGAGTCCCGTGCTAGTTCTGTTAGTTTCCACAACTCACATTGGTTCCTCCCGAGGTGTTTGAGGTGTTCCCCAGGCCGTCTCGTGGCTGTTGCACGATTTTGGCCCCCGAAGGCCTATTTTCAAGCTTCAGTGTGGAAAAGTGCATATTTGGATTTAGTTTTCAAACCGGGAGTCCCGTGCTAGTTTCGTAAGTTTCCACAACTCACATTGGTCCGTCCCGAGGTGTTTGAGGTGTTCCCCAGGCCGTCTCGTGACTGTTGCACGATTTTGGCCCCCGAAAGCCTATTTTTAAGCTTAAGTGTGAAAAAGTGCATTTTTTGACTTAGTTTTCAAACCAGGAGTCCCGTGCTAGTTCCGTAAGTTTTCACAACTCACATTGGTCTGTCCCGAGGTGTTTGAGGTGTTCCCCGGGCCGTCTCGTGGCTGTTGCACGATTTTGGCCCCCGAAGGCCTATTTTTAAGCTTAAGTGTGAAAAAGTACATTTTTGGACTTAGTTTTCAAACTGGGAATCCCGTGCTAGTTCCGTTAGTTTCCACAACTTACATTGGTCTCTGCCGAGGTGTTTGAAGTGTTTCACGGGCTGTCTCGTGGCTGTTGCACGATTTTAGCCTCCGAAGGCCTATTTTCAAGCTTAAGTGTGGAAAAGTGCATATTTGGACTTAGTTTTCAAACTGAGAGTTCCGTACTAATTCCGTAAGTTTTCACAACTCACATTGGTCCGTCCCGAGGTGTTTGAGGTGTCCCCCGGGCCGTCTCGTGGCTGTTGCACGATTTTGGCCACCGAAAGCCTATTTTCAAGCTTAAGTGTGAAAAAGTACGGAAAAGTGCATTTTTGAACTTAGCAATTCTCTCAAGAAGAACTATGTTTGATTAAATGTACAAATGGTATACACCATTATATACTAACATGATTCTCATCAACTATCTGTAAATACTCTGTATCCTTTTTGTAAGAAAGAGAAGAGAGCAATTCTCGCAAAAAGAACTGCTCATATTTTTCACCTAATAATTAAATCCTTGATCGGACCTTAAATATACTCAAAAAATTGTGCATTAGATGAATAAAATCAAGGTCCATGCACTCCAAATGTATTTTTGAGAATCATTAGCAAGCTTGAATCGTTTATCAAAAGGTAATACCTGAACTGAACCTTACAGTTTCAGCCTATCAAGTTATGGCAGGTAGAATCACAAGGATATGCACAGTCAATTTCCTTGGTCACCCTTCTTCCAAAGTACCAATCGCCTACTGCTTCTGCAATGGTCTGTAAGAAATTGACTGGTTGTTACTCACTATGAAAACTTCATTAGATTTAAAACTCATTATTATAGATGAAATCAATGATATTAATAATAGTCAATGGTGCATAAATTTTTGCAGGGACTAATCACATCACTAAAATGGCAACCTTAGATATTCTATGCTAATAGAACAAGTAATATTCAGTCATGAACTATAACACCACACCATGGCATGCTTTGTCAACTTATTACATTATATCAGTCATAGATTATGATTTCTAATTAAATTTGTACACACATAGGATTGAATCATTCTATGCATGGGTTGTAGAATATTTGACATGACTATGACGCATACCAATCTAGCTTTACAATTTTTTTTGGATATGTAACTTTAGATCAGACTTTGAGAGCTGAGCATTCATTTCATAAGTGTATTTACTTGTCATTGGTGCTTCATAAATGGACAAATACAAAAGAGGAGAAAAGCACGACTAGAAAATGACAGCAACTTATTAAAGCTATCATATCCACCAAGGAAAGGGGCTAGTTTGTAAACCTTATTGTGCACTCTAGGGGAGTCTGATGTTAGCCATGTATCTTGTGACTCACTTTGGCAATGCGCAAAACATGAGTTTATGAACATCCCTCCTCTTTTTGAGTATTTAAAAAATAAACTCAAAGCTGCAAGCATATCTTTCCGGAACCCTGAAGAATAGAAATTTTAATAAACATGTCTATCATAAAGGATAACACATATTAAAAATTACATGCAAAATTTATGAAAGTTTTATATTTAATATGAGAGGTATGCTCTCTAAATTGAAGATAATCATCATTAAAAATAAAAATGAAAAGAAAAAAGAAATTTTAGAAAAGAATATCGAAAGCAATTGAAATTTAAGAATGTAAGGACAAAAAATAACCTTGCAAGATATTTGTCTGGTTTGTATTACATGCCGCTGGATTAAGCCTACAATGATTCCAATGCCCACTCAAATCAGCAGAAGGTGGCACCAATATGTGATGGAACTGTGATAAGAAAGTAGTACTCATTTTTCACTATTACCTCAGAAGCACTGAAAAAATATATGTCATAGGACTTTAATTTATCTTACTTGGTACACATCATATGCTGAGTTTAAGATGAAAAATGGTGTCCTGATGTATTTTAACGCATACTGCAGACAGAAACGCTGCCAAAAAAATCATGTCAAAACCATGCCAAGCAAAGTTGTGTTTTTAAGTTGAGTCAAGGAACAAAAAGAAGCACATTAGAAATCGTACTTGTTTTGGATAATAAAGAGAACCTGTGCAATTTTTGTCTAGATTTTGTTCTACACCCTGTCAAACAATTTTTTCACACATAAACAACGATGACAACGATGAAAAACATCAAATGCAGTAGAAATTTAATAGGAAGTGTTTAATAGCTTCTAAAGGCAAATTTGGTGAAATGCACAATAAATTCCATAAAAGAAGAACAAAAAGAAATAAAACCTTCTTTAAACAAAGATGGTATGGTGGAATTGGCAATGGCATATGGCTTGCCAAAGCATCCAACCCATCCCGCAGTATTTTAGCTCTGATACCATGCTACATTGTTTTAGATAGAAAAAAGAGAGAGATCCATACCAAAACTCCGATTCGAATTACAATCAGAAAGTAAACAAAAAAGTAACTAAAGAAGAATTAGGATGGAGAAATTAAACCTAAATCTTTCCCTCCCAGAAACAAATACTTTAATTTACTTTCACAGTATCTTAATCAAATACAAGGTTCATATTGTCCAAGAAGAAATTTGTTTTTATAAAATATCAAATTACAAGGTTCATATCTTAATCAAATTACAAGGTTCATATTCAGAATCTAATTATATTCAGAATCTAATTATAAATAAAATAGAGCAGGATATATATATATATATATATA